TAGAACCCTCTCGGAATGAGCAGCTTTCACCGCTTGGCAAGAGAATGTAGCCGGTTTCGACGATTTCAAATCGGATTTGTGTATTCGAAAAAAATTCGAACCGTTTTCTGTCATGAAATTGAACTATAAATCATTCACGGAAAAAATGCCATTCGAAGATATGTGTGCATAATTTCTGCTGGATATCACGGTTTNCGTATAATTTATTTCTCGTATTTAACTCACAGTTACTGGTGACCTGTGGTGTGGGATAATTCACACATGCGTGCAAATTCCTCAGCTCCACCGTACACTCGGAAGCATTATAGACTCAAGTTTCGCTCCTATTCGATCCACGATGTCGTCCGGGATTCGAACTCCGTCCCGGATGTTGGGACAGTAGGTAAGTGCTATTACTGATGAGCTCCAATAAAAGCAAAGCTCGCGTTCAGTGCCTGACGATAAAGTCCGAAGGATAGTCAGTTCAAATGAATATATTTCTTTCCAGGTACACGTTCATCTGATTATTTTGATTCCGTTCTAATTAAGGCGGATTGGAATTTCACAGAAAATGATACTTGACATGCCTACACCCATTCAGAAAAGAAAACCTTATCGAGATCAAACCAAATCATAAACAAAACAGCATAATATTTTTTTTTCAATCACGAATCATAGAACAAAATAAGCATAAGATAACTTTCATACTTCAACGATCCACGTTTTTGTTTTCGCGTAGATGTCCCTGTATTAAAGCTCGGACACAATGAAGTACATGTGGGATACAGTAAAAAGTAAATGACCGTTGAAGATTCCCATAAAATCGGAGGCAACACGGCCCGACCCCCTTCTCCATCCGGCAGTGGAGTTCTGACTGCGCCTGTGCGCTCATATGCTTGTGTGTGTGTGTGTGGTCTGATAATTTGCTTGCTATCACGCCATTCATAACGATTCTTTGAAAGCCCCCACGGGTTTGCACAATTTTTTATCTGTTCAAAAATATCGCTTCGGTTTTTGTCGTCGAGGTCGTCCGAAACCGGCACGTCCGTGCGGTCGTAAATATCGTCTCATGTGGAACAGTTTTCGAATTTCACGTCGAAATCGAGGTCCGGCAACTAGGTACAGATAGAAATTTGCCGCATGGTTAATGTACATGAGAATCTCCGCTATGTAGTCTAGCAATTCAATTTGAACCAATCGTGATGCGCTTCGATCATCCAGTCGTCCGATGACCAATTTGACGATCACCACCGGGGCTGTGGTGATGAGAAATGTGCCCGAGATGAGTAGTAATAGTACGGTCAGTTGACGTACCTCACTGGTCACAGCCGGTCGACTGCGTCGTTCCACATTGACCGTCTTAATCTCGTAGCCGTTCAGATGACAAGCACCGAATTTGATATTCACTGCCGGTGTATACGCACGAGCTGGCCAGCGTTCCTGTGAAATCGGTTGAGACAAGGTGTGCAAGAGAAATGGGGAATTGGAATAGGTGGCCGAAACACAGACACGATTGGCGTTTGGCAACAGACCAGGGGATTCATGAAATCGATCGATCGGAAACGATTGGGCACAAAATTGGCAAACACGACGTCTGGGCAACTCGTGCTCTCGTTGATGACACGGACACAGGGAACTGATTGAAAGCCATCCACGCATCAGGAGAGACGGTTGTGTTTGCGGTGTGCGTGCATTTTGTGACCAATGTGCGGCCAGGGTGACACGACGTCGGTTTGCCTCGTGCAAATTAATCAAAATTATCACATTGAATATGGTAATAAGAATGAATGGTAAATAACTGTACAGGGTCGCATCCACCCATATCCACACACCGCGTAAACCGTTGTCCCGGAATGGTTTCCGAAATTCACACACTTGTAGCATATCGGCTGAAACAGTGCTGTACGACGGAATCAGATAGTTGTTCTCCGCATCTGAATCGTATGTGGTCGACTCGGTCCCGGTCGAA